GTTTTCTATTCAAGACATTTTGTCGTAGTTAACTTATTTTCTTTCGGAATCTTTTGCTAATTTCAAAAAAAAGGAAAAATGTTAATGAATGAGAAATAAATTAAAAAACATGGAAAGCAATCAAAAAACTATTTGTCATATGTCGACAATATTGAATGATTAGAGGTTATCAACATTCATACTCTATAAAATTCAAGTTGAGAGAAATATTTTAAAATCTTTTTTGCTCTATTGAAATCAGTAAAGTCTTATTTATAAATTAAAATTTCGTATAAAATCATGCAGGATCTCTTTTATCAATATTGTATTCATCAAACCATAGAAACACTAACATTAGAAGAAACAAAGAAAAATTTTTCTATTAAATATTGTCTATAACTAGATTTTTGTCATGTTGAGAACATCTGAAAAGTTTCAATCAGAACAATGGATTTCTTCTTGAAATATTCAACGTTCTACAAATGATTGGATCTTAGAAAAATCAAAAATTTCAGAATATTGATAGAAAACATTTCAGATAAAAAAACATTCTGTGTTACGTTTTTCTATCAATATACCATCTGATGATAAAAATCCAGTAAAATTATCGTAACTTTTGAAGAGAAGATGTATGAGCTCGAATCTCTTTGAAGTTATTCTAGTCTAGGATATCTACTCTATATGCTCAATGTATGCATTCAAACTTGATGTATACCTTTGTTTGATTTCCTCGTAAGATTGAATTACGACTAAACATTTTCTTTTTCTTCCTTCATACCGAGTAAATATTTATTCAACAAGGCAGCATACCTATTCACTGTTTCAATGATAGCTATTGTGAGATGGTGTACGCCTGTAATTGAAAAGAAAAAGTTGCAAAATTTCTCAGTATTGAGGTAATTCAAAGTTATAAATTCGTCATAAGATTCTTTTTTGTTTATGGAACAAATTTTGAAATGAAAATTAATTCTTCATTTCTTATTTTAGCGTCGTCTTAATGTTTATATTGAATTATCCGAACAAATGCATCTACCATTTGCAACTGATGTTGAATTAAAAGAACATGCTGAACGATGTCATGCCTTTGATCATGGTTTTATTTTTAAATAATTTTTTTTTTTGTTTGTTTATTTTATTTATCTTGTTTTTCTTTTTGTTTGATTTTAGAAAATGATTTTTTTAAAATTGATTTAATCATTTGTATGGGTGGTGATGGTACACTTTTACATGTATCAAGTATATTTCAAAAAAGTTGTCCACCTGTTTTATCATTTTCAATGGGTTCACTTGGATTTTTAACTCCATTTGATTTTAAATATCATGAAAAAATTTTAAATGAAGTTATAGCAGGCAATGTTGCTGTTCTATTACGTACACGTTTAAAATGTTCAATTGTTAAAGGTTTAAAAAGACAATCATCATCATCAGCATCACTTCTTTCAACATCATCTGATGATACAACAAATGAAGAAACTAATAAAAATTCTAATAAAGATGATAAAATATCACATTTAGCATTAAATGAAGTTGTTATTGATCGTGGACCAAATTCATATTTATCAAATCTTGATTTATATATTAATGATCGATTTATTACTAAAGTACAAGGTGATGGTAAGTAAAAATAATAATATTTAGCTACACAATATTAAATATTTAAATAATTAAGTTATTTATATTCAGAAGTTAAGACACTATTTGATCAAGATTTTATTATATATATAGTCCTGGACAAAAGTAGCTGCTTCTCATGAAGTGCTACTATTCTTTATGCTAGTTTGAGTGCATACATACGACAATAGAATCTGATCGCAAACATTAGTTCGCCCTTCATCGGTTCATGTGTACTGGAGTTATAATTTGCACATATTACTACTTTCTTTTTCGAGCAATTAAGACTGTCCCATATGTCTAATTTATTATCATCAAAGTCCGTGATATAGTAATTAATACACTTTGAGATAGTGAATCCATGTTATAGCTCTAACTCGACTTCATTCAAATCTATGACTCTAAAATATTCAGAAGAGATTTATCGTCCTATAGAAACTTTCAACTAAAATTTTCAAATGAATTGGTTGAATTCGTCGTGGAAAAGATCCGTCTTACTTAAAATAAGAATTTTTCTCTTCAATAGACGTTCTTAATGAAAAGACAATATCTTCGTTATTTTAAAATTTGCACTAGGGATAGATATGATAGTAGCCTTTCGAATGAGAGATTAAACGAAAATATTTATGTCAACATGATTGAAATAAGATGATCATAAGAGCAGGCCTCTATATATATATATATCACTCAATAGAGAACAGATTAATATTTAACACTAGAGTTTTACAATTGCACAATCATACTTCTTGATGTTATCTCTTGGTTTAGTATGAACTTAATGTTTTTTTTCGGATTCCATTAAAAAAAATAATAAATGATTTTCTTTTTGTTTAAGGTTTGATTGTTTCAACTCCTTCAGGTTCTACAGCTTATGCAATGGCTGGTATGTTTCTATTATCGTCTTTTTCCTTTATCTAATCATTGGAGATTTTTTAATAGCTGGTTCTTCTATGGTTCATCCTAATGTTCCTGCTATGGTCATATGTCCTATCTGTCCACATTCTTTATCATTTCGACCAATTGTTGTTCCAGCTGGCATTGAATTAAAAGTAAAAGTTTCAGAAGATACTCGTCTTACGGCATGGTTGTCAGTTGATGGAAGAAATCGACATGAATTGCATCAACAAGATAGGCAAGAAGAATGAAGAAAAAAAAAGTATAATGTTTGCTTTTTTATTTTTTTAGTGTACACATAACAACAAGTGTTTATCCGGTCCCATCTATATGTCGATTTGATCAATTAGGTGATTGGTTTGAATCATTAGCTGATATACTTCATTGGAATTTACGTAAAGCACAAGGAGGTCTTGGTGGTAGTGAATCTCCTGAACGTGATGTGCAATTAAACGAAGATCAAACGAATGATTCTTCATCTACGGAAACAACTCAATCATCAACTTAAAAAGAAAAAAGACAACTATTGCTTCGGTCTTACGTCTTTTTTGTTTTTTGTTTTATCTATGAAGTATTTCATTAATTTCATCTTCATGATTATATTTAAAAAAAAAATTTATCCATTTAATAACTAAAAATATATATGTATGCTTATTATAAAAAAATCTTTTATCGCTTTAGATATGAATATCTTACCAAAAAAACGATGGCATGTTAGAACTAAAGATAATATTGCTCGAGTTTTACGTGATGAAAAAAAAGCAGCAGAAGAAGAAGAAAAAGCACTTCGAAGAAAAACATTAGCTGTAAATTATCAATTGAATTTATTTGATTATTTTTATTTTAATTATTATGAATTTATTTTTTTTTTGTTAAGGAACAAGAAGCTCGTCTTAATCATTTAAGAGCTAAACGTGGTGATCATGTAATACAATTTCAAAGTCCTGAAGATGCATCATCAACACAAAAACCAACAGAACATGTGAATTTATTTCAACTTGAAGAACAAGGAGTATGTAGAAATTTAATTATTGAAAATATTTATTTATTTATTTATTTGTGTATTTAGTTAAAAACTAGTGATGCTACTAATGCTGAACATGAAAAAGAGAAAAAAACTGAAACAGAAGAATTTGAAAAAAAAATTGGATTATTAACTTATTTGGGTGGTAGCATTGTAGAAAGTAAAGGTAAGTTTACTGTTTATTTTCTTTTTTGTTTTTCGTAACATTAATACAAAAACAAAAAAAATTGTTTTAGGAACTGTTCCATGGTATATGGAACGAGGAGGAAGCACACAATCACTATCAAAAGAATCGTCTAAAACTGATCGGTAGGAATATATTGAGTTACCATTTAAATATAAATTCTTTTTATAGTAGTTATTTACATGAAAAGTGAATTAAGATATTATATTAAATCGAGATAAAATATTCATTAGAATTTCTACAAAATATCATCTCAGATAATTGATACGTATGATATGTATTATTAAATCATTGACAATAAGTCCTAGTATTTTGATATTTATACTACATTACTTTGTAATTCATATATAGATCCCTTCATATGTATCAATTGATGATGTGTAGATTCTTTAAAATAAAATTAGATCAAATATATATTTTTTTTTATTAGTAAAAATTATTTCAATTGGAAATGTATTAATTCTTTAAGAGATTCCCTCTTGTTTCCGACACTTGTGAAAAACAGCTCATTAGAAAATTTTGAAACTATCAGAGTAGATAGATCTTGATGAGTCGAGAAAAAGTTATTAGAGCCTGTTTAGAATGCTTAGCTTTGTTTCTTAGTTCTCATCTTGTTCTATTCAAATAAAAAGATGAAAATAGCGAATGTACCATGAAAAAATGCATGTTTTTTTTTTAACTGGAATTTATTTTGTAAGTCCTGTAAAATACCAGCGTTATATCATATTTTAAAACAAAAAAACAAAATTTACACATCTTAAACAATTTCTATTATAAATAGAAGAAAGTTTTCAACTCGATCGGATGTATTGTTATTGAGAAACAAGAATGATTCTTTTTTTTTTCTTGTCAAAAAACTCATTCTTCAAAAACAACAAAATAAGGTGTAACTTTCAGCGAAAATGTTCCATCTTTGTCGACTTTTATAGTTATATATATATATATAGATTTCGAAAGCTAACCATCATGATTGTTTTATCAAATTAATAAATTCAATATTGAAACGAGTGCTCTTTGTTTTTTTGCGTGTAATTTCAAAGTTAATATTGTGACGAATAGTTCTCTTAATAGATTGATAATTTATGAAAAAAAAAAAAAAAAAAAAATTAAAAGAATTTTTTCAATCTTATAGAGAAGAACGTGATCGTTTACGCATTCAAAAACAAGATCCACTTAGTTCTATGTCAAAATATGTTGATGATTTAAAACGAAAACGTGAAGATGAAAATAAATCATCTTCTACTAATACTAAAAAATCAACACCATCTGTTTCTTTATCATCTACATCTTCATCTTCATCTTCTCGTATTGAACAATTAAGAGCTGAAAGGTAAATTTTTTTCACTATTCTCTATTTTAATATTAATTTTAATTTATTTTTGTTTTTGTTTTTAAGATTAAAACGTGAATCGCAAGAACGTACAAAAACTGCTGCATATCTATCACGAACTTTTACTGGTACTGATCCAATATCAACTATAACTGAACAAACTCCTATTGAAACAGATGATCGTAAACGACGATATAATTCACAATTTAATCCTGATTTTGCTAAACAAAATACACAATATGCTACAACACATGATATGAATTGGAGACAACATTATTAGTTTTTTTGAAAATGTATAATTGGTATAAACATTGTTCCAAACCAATGTATATAAATAAATATTGGTAATTGTGACATGTATATATCCATAAGAGAAAAAAGTACATAAGGTAAATGAACAAGAAATAATAGACATGTTATAATAAATAATAGACGATAATTAATTTGTAATTGTTGTTTTTGAATATAATCATTTAATTGTATTGATGATGAAAGATAATCAAATATAAGAAATGAATTATCTTGTGAAGCTTTATATGATAATGATCGATTTAATGCATTTGAAATATATGATAGAGATTTATTATCTGAATTTGATGATGGATTTGTAAGTGAAGATACTGAAGGAACCCATGTCTGAAAATATCAACAATTGATATTATAAAATTAAAAGAGAATAAAAATTCAAAATTTCTCACATTAAGTGTACTTATTGTTGATTGATCTAATTCAAAATTTAAAACTGTGTCAACAAGACTTGTTAATTCTGCCATATTTTCACGATGTTCATTTTCTTGTCTTTGTGCAGCATTTTCTCGTTTTTTATATTGTTTATAAATCCATGGCCAACAAATTGTTATACCAATTAATAGAAATGAAATAAATATTGGAACAAGATACGTACAAGAATATAATGTTGGTAATATCCACCAAGGTATATCAATAGATAATCTACGATATGGATAATAATCAATTTTATCATATGATGATGATGATGATGATGATGATAACCATAAAATTGGTGAATAAGTAATTAAAGGTGCTATCCAACTAAGAAAAATACAACATCGTTGTAAAGAAAGATTGATGATATTTGTACTAGTAATAAGTAAAAGAAGAGAATAAAGTTGAACAGCATCAACAATATGAAATAAATATGACCATAGACGCCAAATAAATGATTCTGATGACCATATAATACGAAAATAAAAGAATGGTAAAAGCCAAATAACAATAATTAATGATGAAAATGAAAAATTGAAAAGTATTAAATGAAAATATGTATTTTTATTATCATATTTACATATAATCACATATAATATATGAGAAATATTAATAATAAATATAAATAAAATAAGAATAGTAATAAAACAAAATTCTATTGAAATAGTTGTCATATCTATAAAAAAAAAATTTCTTGTAAAAGACAGAAATCTTTGACTGCTTATTCTTTTAATCAGTCATACCTGTGTCTGTTCACTCTAACAACCAACAAAGCAACACTTTATACTATTCAAATCTCTCTTACTCTCCCTCCCTCGCTCTCTCTCTCTTTCGCAGGTTTTTTTCTTTCTTTTTTTGTTCTTATTGTAAATTCGAACATCTATGCATACATTCACTATAAATGTCTGTTCATTTTGGCATATACATGACCTGTCCAATGTGTGTCTGCCAGCATAACCTTTTCTTTTTTTTCTGATAAAATGAATGGTACTCATATGTATATACGTATATATATATATGTGTGTGTGTGTGTGTGTGTGTGTATGCATATAGAAAGGATAATTAGATCATTGTCTTGTTGATTAAACGATTACATATGGTCAATTAGGCAAGCATTGTTTCTTTTCATCTATGTTAAAATTAACTGATAAAAATAGTATAGTATATTTTGCTTTATCGACAGGTTCTATAGTATTTAATGTCATACCGAGGTCACTCTCACAGCAGGATTGGCTTTCTTTTGATACAAGACAAAAAAAAAAAAGAAAATTTTATCATATATGTATATTCATATGTGTGATGTAATCTTTACTCAATCTAAATAACTATCGGCTGAGAGAGTTATGCAGTCAAAGAATAACTTACCATAGGAAAAAAAAAGGCTAGAAAGTCATCTGTCAATAAAGAAGTGTATGAATCCAAAGTATTCGTATTATAAATTACTTTTTTTTTTTTTACATGTAAAGATTTCTTTTATTAATTACTCTTTTTTTTTTTTGGACAAATTATTTGTTCATAGATAAATTACATGAAATAAAACTAATATCATCTAGTTAAGTAATAAAAACATATAGAGATCATTATTTACCTTACATGTTTGTTTGAATGAAATAAATGCCGAGAGATAAAACTAAATAAACTTTACGCAATGTAGATTTATTTTTATTCGAAATATATCTATATATCACGTATGTAGAAGTAGTACGTGTTAAGGACAAGACATTTCTTATATGATTGACAATCTCAAGTTAATAAATCATTTATTTGTATAATTAGATAAATATATTAAGAAAAGTCAGACTAATAAATGAATTAATTTGTATGGTTCATGTATCAACACGTCAAAGTCAAAGATTCATAATTATTATAGTAGTATGATAAAGATAAATGTCATTTAATACTATCGTAGATCAATATAGCATTGTAAAAAAAGATCTTTTAAATTTCATATTGAAAATAGCCATAAACGTATAAACTATATAATCGTGTCTATTACTTTTTTTTTTGTATTTAATAGATAATCATCTGAAAAATTTTATGTAATCAAAGATTATCATTAACTGTAATGAAAAAAAAACAAACAGTAAGTGAGATATTATTAAATAAATAAATAGTAATCAATACAACTATCTTAGCTGTAATGATAGTATGTATAAGTAACGTTGAGTTAAATTGATTATCAATAGAAATATATATAGATGAGAAGTAAAACAAAAGATAAAAATGAATAATGGATTACAAAATGAGATATATCACTCAATTTTATGAGTACAATATTAGTATAAGTATTACTTTAAAAACATTATTTCTATCAAATAGTGAATTATAGTTATTCTATAGAATAAAGAAACTTAGCAACATGTTAGACGGTTTCAATGTATATTGAATACAGCATATGGTATCTATCCCTTTTTTTAGTATAATTTAATTTTTTATTCTGTTGAAGAGAATAAACGATTATAACTGTTAGAAGTTAAATATTTCTGATTTCTAATAAATTATTTCTATTGACTTTGCATTATCATTGTAAAAACTTTAAAAAAAAAAAGCAGAACATATTTTGATAAGATATTCTCTGTTAATAAAATCATATTTACATCATATAAGGTCCATTGACTTATATCCATATGTCTTTGTTTGTATAGTATCATTTTTTGCTCTGAGCGGTTTAAATCGATTCATATGGTAAAAATCATCTTAAAATTAATGATTTTATCATGATTTATTAGTCCGAATAATTTTGAGATGATATCATGCAAAAACCACGAGTTTAGTCGATTTCCGAAGAAATGAAATAGAATATATGGCATCATATTTATCCAAGGCAATGCTTACCAACTATAATATTGTATAAAGGAAAAACTTGTCGAGCAATGTACTAAGCGAAAATTTAGAGAGAATTTTAAATATAAGTATCACTTACTCTATCGTTTGTGTTTTGTTGATGATTATGAACTTTGTTTCTAAAATACTTCGATTTTTATTGATCCATAGAAATTAAAAAATACTTTTTTTTTTTTGTACTTCATCCATGAAGAAAAGAAAAGCATATCGTACATGTGTAATATCATACTGTATAGTTTTGAATAGCTTCTACAGTAAAATGAGATGATTTACATGTGCAACAGACAAAGGTTTGTCTTCCATTTGTTTTGTATTAACTGAAATGAATCCATAAATACATATTTAGTATAAATGTTCAATATATAACCAACTATCTAATTCTCAAAATAGTTTTGGATATCATGTATTGAAGAATGTCGATAAATTGTAATTAATCATTGAAATTGAGATGATTGATTTTCATGACATGGAGGCGTTTATATATATTCTAAAAAAAAAACGAAATTTATATTCAAAGAATATCAGCATACACATGTAGTATTTTTTTATATTTGCTGATTGCTAAATTATAATCATAAGTAACAATGATCTCAAACTTTATTATTTTAATCGATAAGGATAGTCTAAATTTGTTTGACTTATATGAGCAGCTACTAGTCAATCCTATGAAGATATTTGGTTTGATTTGAATCAATAGCTTGAATATACAGAGATGTCATATTATCCATATGCTGGGTAACGACAAGCTATAAGTCATGATATCCAACGAAGCAAATACTCAACTCGTTACACCAAATTCACTCACAATCGCTTTATCTTGAATCTCGATATCTGAGTTATGGATATGATGACACCCCGCAATGTTGTTGTTGACATACAATTAGATTTAAATGAAGTGCTGTATAATAAAAAAGAACATCACGGAATCAGAAAAGCTTTTCAATGAAAATTTATCTAAGTTAAAAAAGCTTATAGTCAAAAAGAAAAAATATTTTTTCTGAAAATCAATTCTCGTCAGCGGATTTATGTTTTTTCACAATTAAATGAAATCGATCAATAAAATCATTTTAAAAAGTATTAACTTAGTAAAAGAGAAAAGATATCTGCATAATATTTCTTTTGTTTGAATCAAGTGTAAATAAGGACAATATTTCAATAATTAATGTTATGACAACTCTCTATTAGTAATTGTTTTTTTTTTCTGTGGTCGACAATCAGAAGATGATAATGACAGTTGTTTGTTGCCATCGTGATAGCATTCAGGTATGACTTAAAACATCAATTGAAGTTGTTGTGAAATTAATCTTTAGAACATCATCGAAATACACTCATGACTCAATCTCTTTAATATTTAATTATTCTCATGGATATTAAATGTGTGAATAATTTTTTACTAAAAATTGTTCACAAAACTTTATTCAATCATGCAACACTCCAATTCTAACCATTCTTCTACTATTGGTAGCATTATGCAATAGAATTTTTCAGTTATCCAAAATGGATTAGACTTATAATTACATTATTAAGTTCTTGCAGTATAAATATATATGTAACAAACGTCGAGTGTGGATACATAAAGTATTAGTCAAAAGAAAATTGACTGTTTCCATAATTCGATCGAGGATAACAAAAGTAAAATATAGTCTGTATATCAATTGTAGTATACATGCACTGATCTCCTGTGTCGGAGTAATTAAGAATAAAAAAACAATCAACATCTTTTGGAAGGTTAACTTAAAATGATCAGATAACAAAAGAATGAAAATCTTAACGAAACATTAGTCCGATCGTATCATTCGATTATTCACACTCTACATAAAATGCCGAAAAAGTTAGACTACTAATGTCTTTTCAACTAGAATTTTACAATCGAGTCACGTATTCAACATTCAAAATGATTCGGTGCCTGTCTATAAGACTATGTAAATCCTAATATGCTTAATTGTTTTAAACTATTATATTTATTTATAGAAATAGTTTTATCATATCTTAAGAGATTGATACACTTGAGAATAACTAACTTAATCAGCAGGAAAAATTATTTTTACTATTTATGATGATGATGCAATGACTTAACACATAGGAAATTGAAGTTAACTATTTGAAGCGTGAATATATGTTTCCATGATGACAATAATCAATAATGCATATAAAATATATCTACATTTATCATGTTTAGCTTCGCTATTGCTTTTAATCTAAGTGTCATCAGCGACAAGTAAAAATATATTTTGTAATACTAACAGAATTTTAGAATGACAAAAACAACAACTGATATAATAAACTACTTGATTAACTCAATTTTTGTTTTTATAATTGACAAAATTCTTATGTTGAAAACGAAATATTACTATCGAATGAATGTTGAATACAGTTAAATGAGTTCGATTCGAATCTGAATATGAAAATTTGTATCTATAAAGCATACTATAACCACAATTATAGAATCTTATTTGATCTAAAATTCAATTATTCATAAATTGATTAAGGGTCAATAAAAATAGCAGATTTTTTTTCTAAGTGATTATTTTTCAAAAAAAAAAATTCTCATCATACAGTTGAATGAACAAAATATTATTCAATTTAGTTCATTTGAAGATACTATTTTCAAAATTTTACATATTTCAAGTTATGAATATTGTCGATAGATTAAAAAGTAATATTTTCAATAGTAGATAATCCTTTGATGATATAAATAATTAATTAATCTTATTGAATCTATCAACAATATTAATCAATTTCAAATTTCTATTTCTTTTTTTGAATTATTTTCATATATCTACCTGAAGAATAATTTTGATTTAATGTCATCATTTTAATCAATATCACTGAAAGCTGAGTACAAAAAAAAGAAAAGAACCAACAAACAACGTACACATTTAGAAAAAAAAAAGAAAAAAAAAAGTTGACAATTTATTTAAACATGAGCAGTATTAAGTAAAATTACGCTTGAATTTTTTTTTCTTTTTGATTTACATTTTGAATCACGCATAGATATTAATGATGGCCTAATTTGACAATTATCTCCAACATCATGAACTACAGTTAATGCATGTGTTGCAGATGAATTTAAACGATGATGAGAATATGTTTTATAATCATCAATTTTTTGACAATGCCAACAATTAAATATAACTCTCATACATTCATGACGTAATTGATTATTCATTATACCATAGACAAATGGTGATGCACATATTGATATACAATAAAGTAATGTTAATAAAACAAATATATCTGGATGTAATTGTCGACGTTTATCATATGCACGTACAAAACCATATGGATGATAACCAAGAAAAAATAATGTAAATAAAACTGCAAACATTTTTGTAATACGTATTTCACGTCTTAATGAATGTGATATTGATACTGTATTTCCATTTGTACGTCCGCTTGTATATGATGCATGATAAACATGACAAAATATTCCAACAAAACAAAATATTATTATAACATTTGGTAATATAATTAATATAGTTATATTAATAAATATTTGTAATTTATTACGTATTGAACAACGTAATGCTTGAGATGAATATCCAATTGAATTTGTTGTAAATGATGGTATACAACAAATTATTGGCAATATTCGTGTTATAACAAGTGAAACAATTACATAAGTTTTAACAGACATACGACGTAATAAGCTTGGATAAACGACAACAATAAATCGATGTATAGCAATTAAACAATGATGCCATAAAAGACAACCCATACAAACCGTTGAAAAATAAACAACTAAATTACATATTAAAGGTCCACCAAGCCAACTACGATTAGCATAGGAAAGACCAACAAAAAATTGATTGAAACCAATATTAAGTAAATCATTGAATTGTAACTTAAAAATAAATAATAAAAAAAAAAAAAATTTTTTTTATGAAAATAGTGGAAGTACTTTGTGTATATGTTTTCAATCAATTGAAGATACTTAGTTGATTGCATCTTTAATATCATAGAAACTAAGATCATTTAAACATTTACAAAAGATATATTTCTTAAAATATTTAATTTCCTCAGTATTTTTCAATCGTTTGCTGATAAAATAGTATATACTAGGAAAATAATTAGTAGATACGATGGGTACGCTTGCTTACTTCCGATTTATTTTTCTAATTCCCCTCAGTCTCAATGTCATTCCCATGCTGTTTCTTTGAATTGATAAATGAATAAATTGAGATTTTCTAGCTTGAAAGCGAGAGGTTTAATTATGTGTTATTATTAAATTATTTTTATTCTCTCATGCAAACTAATTAATTCTGCAATAACAACTTATGTGTGAGAATTTGTTTAGTGATAAGTACTCCAGCGAATTTTTTGACAACAAATAACATGATTAAACTAATTGGCAATCATTGTCAACGAATATGATCCAACTATAAGTGAAAATGATTTCCGGTATGTTGTCTTTCTTATTTTTAGATGACGAAATTGTTAGATAATTGTTTAGCTAACAAAAAGAAAAAGAAAATGAAAAAAAAAAACAAAAAAGGAACAAACGGAAGTTTTTCTGTATGTGTGCATTTATATCAATGTTAATTTGAAAAATAATTTTAATTTCTTTGATCTTTTTTATTTTTCGTTCTTATAATTAAAATAAATCATATCTTACCGAAACAATGAATATATTAATAATATTTGTTCGAAGTTTTTTTACAGAAAGTATCGTTGTTATAAGAAGTATATTACCAACAAGACCCAAAAAAATGAAAACAAATGCAAGTATTGCACCAATAAATGTTGCTTGTCTAGTTGGTTGTCTTAATATTGGTTCATTTAATATTGTTTGATAATCAATTGTTGAATTCATAATTATTAATATATCATTTGATATCATTACTGTTGTTTTATTCATTGTTATTGATGACGAGGGAAAAAACAAAATTTGTTGCGGGTAATCCTAGTCGGGATTTAGTCTAGAAATAATTTTCAATTTTGAGAAAGAATAATAAAAGAGGTGTAGATAGTTCTAATCAAGTTAACATGTAGATCTCTTTCTATGGAAGTATTTATTCAACAAGACATACCAGATATAGAGAAAGATTTTTTTTTCATTACAGCACACATTCTTCATTTCCCTCGAGTTGTCTTCTATTTTTTTCTTTGTTTTCTTTTCCTTCATTTTTTTTCTTGACTAGCATCTTTTTCTTCTGTCTCTCTCTCTCTCTCTCTCTCTCTTACTACTCTATCGCAGTCTATTAGTTCAAATAAGAAGTAAATCAAATGACTTTCATATATATATATATATATAAAGCGTATATGTAATAGCGAAAATAAATGAATTTATATTAAAAACGAAAAAAAAAAACTAAAATTAATGGCTATTCACAATCGTATGAGAAAATTTCAAAAAAAGATGCATATATCATCATTCGATTTCCTGACATACGATAACAAACGCATCTAAAATCACAATATTTTTTTTTTATAATCATTTGTTAACTTTTGCTTGAAAAGCCCCTTGTTTTTCCCTACAATGCTATTAAAAAGTAAACACATTTTATCGAGAATAAATTTTAAAAAAAAGAAAAAGAAAAGCATAATTAATCTTAAGTATATCGATATAAAAATTTCATGCTCATGTTAAGTAAAATTTAATTAATAATATATATATCTAGTATTTGACATAGCATTTTCTTTTTTTTTTAATTCTATAAAAAGAAGTAAAAAAAAAATGTCATCAATTAACAATTTGACATGCATTGAAGAAACAAAAAAAAAAAGAAATTCTATAATGAAAATGACAAATAAATACATTCAAGAGGGCAAGTCTATTGATAGATTATTTCAATGAATGTCTATTTAACAAAAAACAGGTAGAAGAAAGATGAAGATGACAAGATTATTAAAGATTTCTTCTTTGTTTTTACTTATGTTAATATAATTCATAACTTCTATGATTGTCAAACTTATGACAAGACAAAAATTATACATATTAGATATTAGTTTTAGTTGATGAATACTTACATTAACTACAGATATATCTACAGCTGTACATATATATAGTGACAACATGATTAGAAGAGGCTTTCAGTTAGAAATAAAAACAAGACAGTAATATTTAACATCAAATGAGTTTGATGTCATTGCCATCTAATAAACACCAAGAAGAAAAGTGTATTGACACTCTATTTTCTCATTAGTTATTCTTCTGGCTTTGTACTTGTATTTGTTCTTTCTCTATGTTGACATGTTTCTTTATTTTATCAGTTATAGAATTCACAAATTATAAATCGGAAATAGAGAACTTACTGATTTCCTTTTTTTGTCTATGCCTCTTGATAAGCATCAAACCCAGGATATAACTATCGACAAAGAAAAAAAAAAGATAAGATCAAAGACTACCGTTTTGCGTTTCAATAATCTTAGTCTGTTTGGATCAGATAATGTTAATGGTTGTCTCATTATTTATAATATATAATATTGCTTCAAGGAAAGAAAATAACGTCAAAAAAAAAAATAAGAGAAAAAACATTTTCTCTGTTCAATAAGGAAAAATCATGATCATGATCATCATCATCATCATCACCATTCTATTCTTTTTTTTTCCATTCTCTTAGTCTTTATTCTAGTTCTTATCATCATCATCATCATCATCATCATTATCATTGACATGAGTTTTAAATAGAACGAAGAAAGAATGAACTCTTCGAAACGGCTATTTTTCTTTCAAAAGTTCACGTTTCTATAATCAATTGTTTTTTTTTATTGTTAATATTTATACTATATGGTTATTATTGTTATTATAGACTCACTTATCTTTTTGCTTTAACAAGATATAAATCAAAATGTACATGCATATGAATAAAGATATTTTTTCTCTTTTCCTCCTACATATATATATATATTATTGTTTTCTTGCTTTTGACAATCAGTAACCAAGTGCATTGGTCTAACAATCGAGAAGATGATGGAAACTACCGAAAATGAATATAGTTTTTCTGCATGAATAGATAGATATTTTTATGATATTAATAGCTTACTTATCATTCATATTATCTAGTTGCAACATAGATAGAAATAGATTAGATTTTTCTATACAAAGAGTATTCGTGACAAAAAAAACTTACAGGCGAGACTAATAAATATCTATTGCTAATAGAAAATAAGTATATAGATGATATTACCAATATCGAATATCATCAAATTTATATATTATACACAAAATGCAAATCAGATGAATCTAGTTTTGCAGTTGTTCTCGATCAATAGTTATTCTCATAGTTTAATTACAATTTGCTATACTTCTTAATAATAGAGACATCTGTACTAATACTAGGACAACGAAAAAACAAACTCAATTTGCTGTTTATCTCATTCCAGTTAAGCAAACTTCTGAGATGGATGAATAAAAGCATGCATACACTACAAAAAATAAGAACTACTAAGTTACAATAATAATGCTGTCCCAATATGATGCTAAAGGTGCTGATTGCTGACATTGTGTTGGAGGATTATTTTTGCGTACCGACAAAGCCTACATATTCTCTAGAGATTCAATCAACGACTTTTTTTTCTTCTGGAAAATTCCTGACGTAATGTACATGCATATGTCAAAGAGATACAATGAGTAAATTAATTATAATCGAAATAATACTTTCGTATAAATGTCTCCACTATTAAACAATAGCAATATGAAATATTTAATATTTGAAAGATATTGGATATAATAGAATCTCATGTGTCTTATTTAGTTATCTAAGTTTAGATAATCTTCTTTCTTTATTCTATAGTAATATCTCATTTTACCAAAGCTTCATTATCAATACATTTTTTTTTCTAATTTCTTAAATTCTTAGAAAGAAAAAGAAGACTCTTATTTATGAATGAATGACTGATTTTCAACTTTTGTATATGAATTCTTTTATTCTATATTTAAAGATATTAAAACATCGATGACAAAGATTGACAGAAAATTGTCTTAACACAATGAATGACTACACGCATGTTCGCATAAAAAAAGAAAATTACAAATGTCTTGGACGAAATAAAAACGTGAGCACTTGTAATATAAAAGAAAAACCTTGAAAGAGATAAAGAACCGTCAGAATATGTCAATCATATTTTAATGAATTGACAATTCACTGAAGATTTAGATTTGAATAAAGACTAATTAGTCTATCATTTTGCTTTTTATTTTTAAGACGCATTATGCAGTAATTCTATGACATGTTTTGAAATAATGATCAAATAACATTTATTAATTTTTTCATATTAAATGACATCTTTGAATTATGATTATGATCAAATAACAAAATGATTTTAATTGTTTAAACATTGATATAAATGCTAGATCATTTTATAATTAATTATTTAGTAGGATCTAAAGTGTTTATAGGTCAACATGAACTGTATTATAGAGAAAAAGAACAAGTTATTTGTCTAAAATTATTCAAAATCGTATCTGTAACTTAAAAAGCAGATCATAATTGATATAAGATTAGTCTATACATAAATTTATTTATTTATTTATTTTATTTATCTGTCGTTCTACATTAGTTACTTTGAAATCATTGATTTGATTAAAAAGATGAATCAATGAGTAAATTGAAATTAATTTTAATATCATTGAAAGTTCATCAGATAAGATTATGTTAATAAAAGAAAAAAACCAAACAGAATTTTCACATACTATACTGCTAAGTTTTAATTTTCGAGCAAAAAAATTCGTATAAAAACTAATCGATGAAAATATTGTTATGATTATTCAAATAATCATTATAAAATATTGTCTTTTGTTATTATGTATTATTAATTCATAACTGGCTTTTTTTTTCAATAATCTTGTTTTGTATTACCTTATGCTTCTCTTTTTAGTTCTATTTAAAAAAAAAACTAAGTCTATATTTTCAATATTCTTGTTTTGATAAGTATATTTAATTGATACTTGACATGAATAAATAATCTTCTTTTATTTGATGTTTTGTATCTTAATAAGATATTAACATTAAAGTTAAGGACCTAATATACAAATGAAAATAGAAAAAAAAACCAAATAAGATTAGATTCTTGCTCTTTTCCAATCGTTCTTTGATAATTATCAGAGATACAATCGATTCGATTTGAACTTTTTAGAGGACGGAAAATATGCTCGTAATTTGAAATGATGCGTCAAAACAAAATTGACCTAAACGAAAATATCGAGAAAACTAAAGAAAACTTATTTGCATTTAATTTTTGGTATAATGTCAATAAATAAACGATAATTTATCTCATATTTTTATGCACATTGAGAAAATTGACCTCGCTTTTCTGATTGCTTAAGGAAAGGTCTAATAGATTTTGTTTCCTTGTCTAATACATTCGATAAGTTTTGATTCAATTTAGTTTTTGTTGTCAAAACAAACACGAATCAATCCCATCTCGCATAGTTAAACAAAAAAAAACCATTAAATCCTTATCTAGCTATGACTATTACTGACTTGTTTTTCTATATCATTATCAAAGAAGAAGAGGAAGAAAATAGTCAGAATTGTTTGTTCTATTTTCACTTGTATGTCAAATCATTAGTTTTAATGTTATGTATGATAAAATATTTCGTTGAATGTCAATGTTTTAGTTTTTATTAATTCTTGATATTAAATTAAATAAAAGAAAAGTATTTATTCATGTTCAATATCAATTTTTCAACATATTTCAAGAAGAAATCTTATTTGAAATAAATAAAAAAAAAAAAAAACTTTATGTATTACATACTTCTGATTCGTAAAAGCATAATAATGTTATTGAAAAGAATACATTGCTAATTAATAACAATATGTATCTCAATTTTTTTCTAAATAAATCCGTAATCTTCTATTATGCGTCACGAAAGAATATTTTATATGAAAAATAAAAACGCTTGAAGATTTGAATAGAACATTGAGACGCAATGAAGTTCATGTTCCTAGTTTTTACCAATGATCACACTCTATTACCATGATATATATCATAAAATAATCAAGAAAAAATTCTATCAGTCTACAAGAAAGACAAGTATACAATCAGTATTTGTTTCAATTTCTTCTACAAATTATAAACTAATTATACCAACATTCAATCTTATATGTATCACTGAATTATGTTTAAAGCACATAATATTGTATAATATGTTGTGAAAAAGTTTATCAAGTAAATTATTTGAAGAAAAATGTAAATAAAAAAATCTATTATAAAATGGCAAATCTTTCTAATCTAATCCATCTATATCTGACATATAATATTCACTAACAAAACTAAAATACATTAAAATAGAGTACAAAAACGACTATGTTTACATTTTTTTTTCTTTAAATTATTTTCTATAGAATTTAATATAATATGTTCATTTTGTTTATTTTTAAGTAAATGTTGTAATTCACTTTTTAATGAAACATATTCTGTTAATGGAACACTAATACCAGTTCGTTGTTGAAGTTCATTATTTAAACTATGATACATAGATGCTGGTTCAATTGATATAATTTCAGCAAGATGTACAAGTGCTGAACCATTCAAACGTGTAACTAATGGTCGTAATGTATCAAAATTACTTTGTGTTGTTTCACACCATTGACTAACATCATCTGAAGACCAATAGGATACCGGACGATGCATATAACTATATGTTTGATTTCGTATTTCATCTGAATTTGTATTATATATACGACTAATTGATGAAACAACACTTGTTCGACTTGATAAACGTGTATGATTATCATCAGTAGGATTTAAATAACGTTGAATTTCTTTAAGAATTGATTGTATATCGATAATTGGAATATTTTCAAGCCAATTTCCGTCAAGTTCACATTCATGTTCAATAAGAATTGTTAATAATGGAATTTTAAAAGCTTGAATTAATATATAATGATAAATAAAATGTGATAAATTATCATATTTCATTTGTGTACTTGCACAGAAAAGACATATTGATGAACGATTAATTAAATGAATTAATGAATCAATTGATTGACATGTTGAAGTTATAATAAGTTTAACTGTATATTGTTGTTCAATTTGAAGACGATCACGAAGTGTTATACATAATTCATGATGAGATTCATCAGCATTAAACATACAAATAAGAATATTTTTTGGAATTGAACAACCACGACTGAGTGTTGTACGAACTATAAAATAAAAATCAATATAAAAATAAAAACAAAAAACAAAAAACAAAATTCTACTTGTATTTTTATTATTTGAATCTAAACTAAAAAGAATTGCCTGTGATGCAATACGTATACTTAGAATTGAATCTGTAATATTTGTTTTTAACCATCGACATAAATCAATATGTTTTTGTAAATTATTATGAATATTTGTTGATGTACTAAATGAAAAAGTCCATAAAAGTTCAATCATAACATCAATTAATTTTGGTAAAATATCATCATCTTGTTGTACAAATAAAATTGTATCAATTAACATATTTATAAGATTAACTTTTTTTGTTGAATTAATTAATTCATCAACAATCATTGTAAATGATAAAAAACTTGTACGTAATAAAACAAACCATTCAATAGCTGCTATAGCAATTTGATTTTTTGATGATGGTGATATTGAATCAAATGATGTATCATTTGATGTTGTAGCTAATGATTGAAATACATTTATAGTTCGTTGTATTAATAAATGAATAAGTCGTTTAAAAAGTGATGTTTGATATAAATCATGTTGAGTTATTAAAAGTGCTAATGGATGCCAAAGTTGAATACAACGTTTTGTTTCATATAAAATATGTTGTACAAAACCTAAATGACGTAAATGTCGTTTACCATTTTTTGTTGAACATATTATAATAAGTAATGAAGCAATATCATCAATTAAATTTGGTGTTTGACATAATATTTCAAAATGTGGTAAAAGTGATGCACAAAGATTTTCTCGTATAATTGCTTCTTTATTTATTAATACTAATTGATTAATAAAAGCAATAAGATGAATAATTAATAATGATATATCATCATCAGAATTTTGTGGTATTTCACACCAAATATGAAGAATTTTATTTATTAATGGTAATAATTGTAATGTTGATGTTATTTTAGTTGATGTTGTACAATAATCAAGACATGTAAATAAAAGAAATATTGATCGTATATTTATTTTATCACTTGTTATATTTTGACGTAAAAATTCTGTTGAAAGTTGTATAAATAATGAACTATTAAGACAATTTATTATACATGGTGTTAAAATTTTGTGAATAATTGAATTATTTATTAAAATTGGATGACTATATAAATTAAGTAAACAATTTACACAACGAAATAAAACATCAATTACATCGGCTTGTTCAGCTTGTATATCGGATGTTTCAGTTTGAAGTTGAATATCATCAGGTGATAGATGATCTTCATCATCCTTTGTAAAATAAAAAAAAAGAAATTAATTTTTTTTTTTTGTATGGAGCTCACATTATATAAATATAGTGAGTATAAGTTTTTTGTGACTTGCCCTGCAAAGTAACGCGGAGGCATCAACAATCATTAGATCCGTTTCCGTAGGAACCGAAGATAACAGGTGTCGGACTCTTTTTTCTCAGAGTTCCTTAGCAATGGAAAAAGACGCTGAATGGCATTAACAACAAGCAGGGCTCTCGATTGTTTTCAAGAGTGCCAGGAGCTAATAATTTTTCGCAGACAGTACTCATAAATGCCCCCCTAATTTTTCCAAAAGTCAGAAGTGAAGAGCAAAAAAAAAAGGTCTTCAACAAAATTTTCTAGGCGTACTGAAGTACCTCTGCGACAGCCGGGCACTTTCAATCCGAACTCTAAGCGCTACTAAAAATTTCGCAGACAAATAGCAAGAAAATTTTCGCAGACACTCTCAAAAAGTGCCGGGGGCTAGCCCCCGCCACATCGAGGGGCCTGACAACAAGATTTAGACTATGCTAAAACATTCCGAAGTCTTCTTCGAAATTCGAATGGCTCTAATACGTTTGTGAATTTTCGAGTAAATGAAAATTCATATTCAAGATATCAAGAATGAGGAGTAGTGATGCAGTGATTTGTCACAGTCATCATATGATCAACATAAAAAAGTATAAACTAATCAATATCAATGTTTTTGTACTTGTTGTCGAAATATATAATAGTGCGTTGAGATCTGGCGTAGATATAATACATATGTATAAGAGACTTAGTTACCAGTTAAATCAATGATTAGAATAGTCTTAATGTTAAATAAAGAACGATAGAATACGAAAACAAGAAGTAACAAGGAAAAGAAGATTTCTTTGTAGTGCAGAAATAAATAAGACAGATTGTTTTCTCTGGCAATCGATTATCCTTTAACAAAAACCGTGATTTATCAGTTAACACAGTATGTTTTAGTATAATGAGGATAAAGAACACATGCAAGTCCTACATTTTATTCTTCAATGAATTGCGTTGACAAATCTTTTTATCTTCAAAAAACAAATTTATTTTCTTGACTAAATTAATAAATAATAATCTTTTAATTGATTGATTGACTTTGATTTTCTTTCTTTCTTTCTTTCTTACTTTTTAATTCTATATGAAATTTTCTATTTAATAATAGAAAAAAATAACTTACAGATAAATGACTTGTTACTAAACTATGTTGTTCATCATTTTCAGTTTTAATTAATTGATTAATAACACGACATAATGTATTAAGAAAATTTTCTTCAAGAAATAAATTATTCATAGTAGTTTTAATTAATTCTTTATTTTTATTATTTAATATTAAATTATCTTGTTCAATTAACCATTCAGATAAAAGTTTAAATAATTGATGAATATAAAACATTGCTCGATATTCATTACCATTTAATGTACCATTAATTAACCATAATTGAAGTAAACGTTCAGACCATTGTCGTATAATAAGAAATATTTGATGATTTATTATATTTATATCTAATTGTTCAATTGACATACATGATATTGATTGACCAATAAGTGATAATGATGAAAGAAGATGTTGTGGTGGACATGCATGAAAAAGTGCAAGAATTTCATCAAGATGTTTACCAGGTGATGAAGATGTTGTACATAATTGACGAATTTCATTCATATTTCTTTTCTTTTTTTTGTTTCGATGAATAAAAATGCAAAAATACCAAATGATGAACGAATAGTTACATCAAATGAAGAGAAAAAGAAAACATGAGCGTATATTAAATTCTGAGAAGAAAAGAATGGACAGACATATTATTTCAATTCACTTTCTATATACATATTGACTCATATATACATTGAGTGATGAACAAGAGAGAGAAGAAAAAAACCTGAGACGACACAATTGAAAAGAATTCTAATTGAATCCATCAGCATATTCGAGTGTTTATTAAGTTTATTTTGTCTGTAAAACAGACCATAGACGAGATAAAAATTGTAAAACGTTACATGCAACTTATTGTAACCGTTTGTTGTATTATAAATCAATTTATTTAACAGAAATTTTAAAAACTTGAACATTTTTTTTTCGAAAATAAAAATTTCATGTATGAGAATAAAAAAGATTTTTGAATAAGAGAACTTTACAAAGAAAAAAAAATGAACTTCAATTATTAAACATTTTTGAAAGTAAATTTAAATTAAAAATTTTTATTGTTAATAATTCATTCTATTAATTCTTCGCATTTTGTCGACTTATTTTTTTAATGTCAATGATGATGATGATCGAGAATAATGTGGCTTGTATGGTAAAGAAACCATTCAAATTGATTGATCGAGTTTATGATAATATTAGTTTAAAATTAATGGCAACGTTCAAGTATAAAGGACATCCTAGAAATTCTCAAGTAATTTTCAAATCTATCGTTCTCTCATACAAACAAAAAAACAACAACAACGTTTTGAAACTTTGCTAAATTATTATATTAGGCATACAAAGTAACTACTTCAGCTATGTCCCAGCTTTTAATTTTAAGAAAATCTTCGTCAGATTAAGAAAACTCGAAAAATGTTCATGCTAATGACTCTTCATTTCTCAAATGTGGTTAACATTATGAAGAAAAACGAAGGCATGTTTTTTTTTATTTTTCCAAATTATCGTTTATAGAGTAGCTGCCTAATTTGAGTTCGAATATAAATGGAGACCTAGCTGCATGCTGTCTATCCGAAAATAACTGGTGAAAGTCAGGAATAGATTTAGTTTTAGATTAACTTTCAGATAAATGAAAAAAAATATTCCGATTCCCCACAATTAAACATGCGCTCTCGCCCCTTCCAACCCCATAAAGAGAGAAGCGCTCTCATCCCCCCATAGAGAGAGGCGCCCCCCCCCCACCCCACCTGCTCCCCCCCCCCCCCACCCCGATAAAGAGAGATGCTTTCTCTCACTCTCCTCCTCCCATAGAGAGAGAGAAATACGCTCTCTCCCTCACCCTCACTTGCCCCCTCACAGAGAGAGAAAAATGCGCTCTCTCTCTCTCGTCCACACTTGCACCCTTCCTCACCTTTTATATAAATTATATTCATTGGAAACTAAAACTAAAACTAAATCTATTCTTAACTTTCACCAGTTATTTTCGGATTGATAACATGCAGATAGGTCTCCATTTATATTCGAACTCGAATTAGGCAACTCATGATATTTTGTGTCGTTGCTATGAGCGCCATGTCCAAAGCATGTGTACTCCACAATGGTGTTTTTATCTTTTCAATTTTCTAATTAGTTGATTTTTTGACCAATAAAGTTTTTTCTGTCATCGTGGTACTCTGTCGTGTTGTGGTAGCTTCTCATCGATCAGATTTTATCGAACTACCTATTTCGAAAAACCAAATACAGGGTTTTGTAGAGCTCAAAAAGTTACATCTAATGATATATAAATCAAATTGGTTCTTATTCAATTTCAAAAATTTTTCCTGTATGGAACATCGAGGGGATAGTATCAAATATTTAGGCTCAAAAAATTACTCTACCACATGGAAAGTGGTCCTTTATTAGCCGTTATCAGAATCTGATAACAATTACCCTAGTAAAGGTACTCATAGGCGAGTGCTCAAAAAGTACTCACGCTAGAAAATGTCACGAGTACTCATGAGTACTCATAGGTTTTGAGTACTCAACAGCCGTACTCTTGGTAGAATCTGAGTATCTGAGTACGACCATCGAGTACTCGCTGTGTAATATTGAGTGTTTTGTGAGTACTTCTATCTAGTTTCTGTGTACTCTGCTGGCCTATGTAAAATACTCATAAGCATATCTTTTGGTTAGTACCGTTGTACTACATCAATTTTTATTTAATATTAGAATATTACAAAAATCACAACCACACACGATGAAAATTTGAGTAAAATGGTCGAAATGAGAACTACAACTTTCACATCAGCTTCATATATTTTAGCGTAAAGAATATGGCCATAGCAATCTTCATCATTAGTGAAGAAAATTAAATTTTTTCTTTGTTTTTCCACAATAAAAATAGGATTTTATTGATTCTTTTCTTTCCTCTTTCAAAAAACAAATAAAATCGTATTTCATTATGTAAAAAAAAATAGAAAATAGTTAATTATTTTCTCTAACAATGAAAATTTCTTTAGCTATATCTTGAATACAGAGTACAATAAAACACGAATAAGGACAGTAAAATACAGTGAAGGTGAAAAAAAATAAATTAGTCACCGATAATGAGAAATGTGATAGTGAATAAACGTACAGTATTGCTTGTTATACAAAAAAACTTAAACATATTTTACATTCGTAACTATCTGCATTTATGTGGGAATCTACAAAAAAATTAATACAGAATAAAATTGTTTGCCAGTAGTGTATTCATGCATCTTCTTGTTGTAAAATTGCGATCGGTTTATAATGAAAGTCATCAGTCGTCTTCCTTTTCATAGCATTTGATAGTCAATCTGAAAAACTACTTTAAAGGAAGATTTTTTATCTAAATTTTAGGAAATAAAATTAAAGCGAATCTGCATTGATATGTTTAAAAAAATTCGATCTCATCTAAAGTTAACAAATGAAAACGAAAAATCGTTTTTTCTCTTTCTGAACATCGCCGTTTATCTTAGTCGTGTAAATAACTCATCAAAAGGAATAGAGGATCGAATAAATAAGTCAATAAAACAATTTTCCTCGGGTTTTCATTTTACTACATCATTTTCTTTTATTATATAGTTTCAATTTATTTTTCTATATACTAATGTATAAGTGTTTTGTTAAATGGTCTGCGAAAAACGACTATGAGTACTACATTGAGTACTGATATATCTGCAAATGAGTAAATCTCTAAAGAAAAACTCGTAC